ACAACTGACTGTCGATGTTTAGTGAACTTGACCTTGTGGTTAGAGTAAGCAAGAAGGTTATTGATAGAACAATCAACGAGAATTGTTCTAAAGATCACACGAATTTCCTCACCGGGAGTGAGTCCAAGGAGATTGATTTGATCCCACTTACTAACACCCACTAAACTTCGCAACGTCTAATGCTTACTCACTTTCTCCAACATGCACTTCGAATGTTTCAAACAATTTCCATAAAGATATGACTCTGCTAGCCATAACCCCTTTTGGAAATTGATGAGAATGACGTTTGCTGCCAAAGAATCTCTCAAGAAAGTATATAATCTAAACAAAATAATGTTTGCAGGATTTCTTGTACAACTGACTGTCGATGTTTAGTGAACTTGACCTTGTGGTTAGAGTAAGCAAGAAGGTTATTGATAGAACAATCAACGAGAATTGTTCTAAAGATCACACGAATTTCCTCACCGGGAGTGAGTCCAAGGAGATTGATTTGATCCCACTTACTAACACCCACTAAACTTCGCAACGTCTAATGCTTACTCACTTTCTCCAACATGCACTTCGAATGTTTCAAACAATTTCCATAAAGATATGACTCTGCTAGCCATTCCTAGGGAATGCATGTTGCAGAGTAACATCACCGTTTCAGCTTTCTAGCTGGTCTCGTCCAAACCTCATACTACTAAAATTTTTCATTTCCCAACACTTCCATGTAAGTCCGACTGCCCACAATTCTTAGGGAACACATGTTGCAGAATGGCATAGCCATTTCGGATCTTCAGCTGGTCTTAACCAAACTTCCTCATACGGAGATTTCCTATTTCATGTCACTTCAATGTAAAACCGACTCTGCCTGCAATTCCTAGGGAACCATGTTGCAGAGTACCAATTCGATGTTGAAAGTCATCCAACAATCCATTTCGTCACCGTTGAGGCACAATCCTGACATCAATTCTTGTATTTCAACCAGACGGTGACAATTCAAACAGAGAAAGGTTTGCAAACCTATGCCGAATGGCACCAAATCCGAAAGTAGTGACATCCAAATAATATCATGACCGACACAATACTACAGTAACAGAATATCCTAAGTATGCTATAAACAAACCACACTCTGATACCAAATTGACACACTCGACCCTGATATCCTCCAAATACCAAGGTAGGCACATGCTAGCCAACACCCGAAGATGATGAAGCCATAATAGAATGCATGAGAACAAGAAACAAATAACTAACATAAAAATATAAAAAAAACTTGTAAATTTAACTTTAATGAATATGCATTTATGAAACGTGTTCAGAGCATACAACTAATCCAGAACTCTAAAAAGGAATAATATTAAATTGAATGAACAAAGGGATGGATCTTTCACCGAGAGAACTCGAAGATGCCAATTTAGGAGTGCCTTGACGCCGGGATTGTACGCCTCGATTCTAAGTCCTGAGGGGGCGCAAAACAAAACATGAGTGGACCAAGTTGATATATAAGTAATACTAAAACAGTTAATCTTTAATGTACTAACCCCCAGGTTTACAAAACTCATATAGCATAATAAGTAATAGGTTGTTTCAAAAACCCTAGCATGCCATAAAACCTTTCATAAAACATATATCGTATATAGGGTGCTTAGTAGTAGGAGCACAAGGCATATATATATATATATATCTTCATTCGCCCGAAGGCACAACATCTCCCAGCCGAAGCCACCAACCTACGCCCGGTCGAAGCCATATATAAGTATCTTCAAGTCGAACCCATCCACCTACGCCTAACCAAAGCTATATATAAGTATCATGCACCCGTAGGCAGTATCATTCGCTCGTAGGCAGTACCATTCACCTGTAAGCAGAACCATTCGCCTGCATGCAGTTCGTATGAATAACCACTAAGTAAATACATAAAAACATTAACATAATATTTCTAATATATATATCTATCTCAAAACGGAGCTTAATAACTAAAACATCATATCGTAAAACCATGTTCATAAGTAGGTATATGGTCATCAATCATATATACCACACATAAAGAAATGTCGATAAAGCATAATATATCATAAAGTGTAAATCCAATTTACTCATAAACATTTTATAAAACGTAACCAACAAATCATGTTTTTCGTGTATGCATTTCTAATAGTAAAATAATGCATTTTAGAAGGGGTCCACTCACAGATCCTTCGCTGTCGAAAAACCATGCAAACTAGAGAAGACGGAAAAACCGCTAACAAACGCACCTAAGCACATAAAGGGGCCAATTAACAGAACTATACTAAAACAATTGAATTTTAGAAAATGGACGTCATAAACGGATTCAGCATATTGAAAATAATATTTTGGGCCTGGCCCAGTGGAGTTCGGCCGAATCCTATCAAATGATGATTCCGCTTGGAAAAAGGGTGAAGTGGTCGAATCGTAGTACAATAAGGATTCTTCAAAAGTTATGGAAGCTTCGAATCATAAAGATGCCAAAAGTCAAGGGTTGAATCTGAATGATTAAAAAGCTTGGTTCAGAATCCTATAGAAGTTAGAATTGGTCGAGACCAAATCAGATTAGGATGAGGAATTCTAGTCCGAGTAAAATACTCGGTCATCGAGGAAATTGCTACTATAAATAGAGACTATCCAAATCAACACATAACTGCCTTGCGCAAACAACTTCTCAACAACTTTGAAATTTTTATTTTCTTTTTTCCCGCCAACACACCTTCAGTTTAGATAAACTACACTGTGGAGGCAACTGGCAACATCTTCAGTTTGGATAAATAACACTGGAGCCGTAGAACTAGCCAATCGAGGAGCACCTTCAATTTGGATAAACAACACTACTTCGAGACCGACTGACTACCTATCCAAGTCTCGACCATGAAGGATTTCCGAGTCCTTGTTGGAAGAGGTCGTCTCATTAGCCTTCTCAGCGAGTGAGGTATTACCAGATTACTTAATATTCGGCACACTGAAAGCCGAATTCGATATAGAACTTCGCAGAACTAGCAGCCTTATCTTCAAGCTCTAGAATCTGAAGGCTAAGACGTGTTGCTTCCTAGGCCACAGTCGCAAGATCAAGAAGTCAGCAACATGCCCAACGCCACATCAACATTCATTTTACTCCCCAACTGAGCTTGACTGATGAGTTGGCACACCCCACATTCAACCAAATGACTTAGTTAGCTTATTAATTACTCGGCTTGCCATGTAGGCTAAGTAGTTTTTAGGGTCAACAAGAGGATATTGCACAAAGATAATCAAGAGCAATTTTGGTATTATTTTGTGTCTCTTTATTAATTTTCCCTTGACTCTATAAATTTAACACTGCTAACTACTATATTACCTAATTAAAAAAACTATAGATCCGAACGCTGCAGGGGTGGGAATCGTGTTGCGGACGCTGTAGCTTCGTACTTTCAAAATCATGGAGGCTCTATGGAATGGGATTGTATAGGGCCTTATTTTATTTTCAATATTCTAGCGGTGGATGTAAGGCTCCGTTTGGGATTGAGGTGATTTTAAAAAAAGCCACTGTGAAAAAAAGCTGAGGGTCATTTTTGTGTTTGGTAAACTGAAAAAAAATGGCTTATTTTGGAAGCTGCTGTGAGAATAAGCTGAAAATCAAAGGAAAAGTTGAAGCTGCTATTTGCTGCTTTGAAAAAAAGCCAGTTTTTTCAAAGCACACGGAGCTACAGTGCTTCTTTAATGAAAAGACACACTATCATCCTTCTTTTTTTTCCAAAAGCACTTTCACAAAAAATTTTACCAAACACTCTACTGGCTTTATTTCACAGCCGCTTATTCTCACAGCACAGCCGCTTATTCTCACAACAGCTTTTTTTCAAAGCACAGCAATACCAAACCAGCCCTAATCTTTTAATTAGAATTTAATAAAATTTATCATTTGACAAAAAAAATTTAAAAAAAAATACTAATGAATTAAAGAAAAACAAAAATGGACAGTCAAATAAACATGACGCCCTGAACTCCTGAAAGCCACACAACCCACCAAAATTTGTGGGTGAAGAGGGCAATTGTTGAAGACACGGAAATTGTTTTGCACGGATGGCCCTCAGTTCTTTAGTCTTTTTAATTGGTTAACAGTATTAACTTTAGAGCCAAGTGGAGGGACACACGTAGAAAGTCTAGTAAACAGACACAAAGGTACCGTTTGGTACGTGGGACGGGACGGAATGGAGTGGGACGAGACGTTCCATTCCCCGTTTGGTACGCCTAAAAAGGGTGGAACGCGCTGTTCCACGGGACAAATTTTGGGTGAATTTTCGTTCCGCCTCACCCCCTGGAACGACTCGTTCCACATCCGTGGAACACAAAATTATAACATCTCCGTCTCCTTTTTCTTCCTCCTTGTTTCCATCCTAGGGCATCTTTGCTCCCTCTCCGTTCTGTCCCGTCATGTCCCGTCCTATCCCATTCCATTCCGTCCCGTCCTGTCTGCATACCAAACGATACCGAACACGCAATTGGTAACAACAGACCGGGTCTTAGCCCATTTATGCCAATGCGGTATGATAAGGTGATAAAAATAGTATTTTTGAAAAATAAACAAAATGTTGGAAAAACACTAATTATATAACTATATATAATCAAGCAAAAATTACTAATATTTAGGAAAATAAAACGAATACTGAATTGATCAAATAATTAGAGGCTAGCTCGCAAATTTCTCTGCAATGTCTTTAATAAAAGCGTGACCTACTTGTATTGATGAGTCTTACTCATATTAACGAGCATAAAAACTAAAAAGTGTGACATCGTAACATTTTAGCTCGCAACTCAAACACCTTTGATTATTATCTTGACCAAAAAAAAAAACACCTTTTATTATAACACCAACACAAAATTTGGTCTATTTTTCGAGCAACAAGTGCACACAGTATATATACACACATACAGAATCAGATACACACATGTGATTATTTCTGTATATGTCTAGCGTAAGAGGTCCCCATCTCATCACTTGCCAGTTACCACTTGGGGCCACTGGCCATTATTGTCCGAAGCAAAAGACATCTTTTCCATTTGGCATTTGCTTTACCAAAACAAACATTCACAGTTTGCTTGTTCATCCATCCATGGCTCTTGTGAGAGCAGCTCAAGGAACTTCCGCTGATTCCAACAGTTGTGGGGGTTATCGTTACGACGTGTTCTTGAGCTTCAGAGGCGAAGACACTCGCAAGACTTTTACCGACCACCTCTACACAGCCTTGAACAATGCAGGATTTCTCACGTTCCGAGACGACGATGAACTTGAGAGAGGAGAAGATATAAAGCCAGGACTGCAGAAAGCGATCCAGCTGTCACGAGCTTCTGTTGTCGTGTTTTCGAAAGATTACGCGTCATCCAGATGGTGCCTTGATGAGCTTATGCTGATCCTTGAACGCAAGAGGACCACCTCGGACCATGTAGTTTTACCAGTCTTCTACGATGTCGATCCGTCCCACTTGAGGAAGCAGACGGGAAGTATTGGAAAAGCATTTGCTAGACACCAGAAAACTCAGTCGCAGAAAAAGGTGAAGGGATGGAGGGAGGCACTTGCAGAGGTTGCAGATCTAGCAGGCATGGTCTTACAAAATCAAGCTGATGGGTAACTTTCATTTCCATTTCTCCTCTTTCTTGAGTCAATTTGATACATGATCTGTAGGGACATTGATTTATATATATATATATATATATATAGTATTCAATCTCCGTAGTGAATAACAATCCTAATTTAGGTCAACTTAAAGAGATCACATTTGACTCAACTTAAGGATTAGTCATTTTCCAAGTTAGTCTACCGGTTTGCAGTTGCATAAATGTTTAAGCAAGTGTGATAAAAAGTTGGGATGTAATTTTGTGCTGTATTTGTCTATAGTTCGTATAATTTCTGTACTGTATTCTTTTTTTTCCTTTTTAAATAAAGCCATCAACATATGTTTTAATTATCTAAATTCTCCAATTCATTATTTATTCGTCGAATACTTCCGGGAGACATGACATGATTGATATAAAATACACGACATGTTTGATATATTTTTCATTTTGTTTGTAAATTCTTAGGTACGAGTCAAAGTTTATCAAAAAAATTGTTAAAGTGATACGAGACAAGTTAAGTCGCACACCATTGAGCATTGAACCAAAATTCATTGGAATCCAATCTCAAGTCGAACACATCAATTTGTGGTTACAAGATGGATCAAATGATGTTGGTATATTTATTGTCTATGGCATGTCTGGAATAGGGAAGACAACCATTGCAAAACATGTGTACAATTCAAACTTTAGGAGCTTTGAAGGAAGTAGTTTCATTGAAAATATTAGAGAAATAGCAGATCGATCGAATGGCTTAGTTCAAATACAAATGCAACTTCTTTCTAATATTTTGAATGGTAGAGAAGTGAAAATACACAGTGTTAGTGAGGGAATAATTAAGATTGAAGGCGCCATAAGCTCAAGAAAAGTTCTGCTTGTTCTTGATGATGTGGACCATATGGACCAATTAGATGCAGTACTAAAGATGAAAGATCGGTTTTATCCCGGAAGTAAGATACTTATAACAACTAGGCGTGAAAGGTTGCTAAAGGCACATCAAGTTACAAAGGTGCACAGAGTTGAAACTTTGGATTACAATGAATCATTTGAGCTTTTCAGCTGGCATGCATTTGGCCAGGACCATCCCATAGAAGAATACATGGAGCATTCAAAAATGGTAGTGCAACATAGTGGCGGACTTCCATTAGCTCTTCGAGTTTTGGGTTCTACTTTATCAGGGGAAAGTATAGATGTATGGGAAAGTGCACTGGAGAAGTTGAAAGTTATCCCTAATGGTGAAATCTTGAATAAACTAAGAATAAGCTATGACAGTTTACAAGATGACCATGACCAGAAATTATTCCTCCACATTGCTTGCTTCCTAATAGGAAGGGACAAAAACTACATTGTTAGAATACTCGATGGATGTGATTTCTTTACAACCATTGGCATTCATAATCTCATTGATAGATGCATGGTGACAATTGATAAATACGACAAGGTGAATATGCATGACATGATTCGTGACATGGGGAGAGAAATTGTTCGCCTAGAATCAGAAGAGCCTGAGAAACGTAGTAGATTATGGCACCATAAGGATTCTTTCGAAGTATTGAGGGACAAGAATGTAAGAAACATTCCATTTATGTCAATACACACACACACACACACACACACACACACACACACATATATATATATATATATATATATATATATATATATATATATATATTTCTTCTTGTGAAGATTATCCATTTTAATGTTTCCTTTTTTTTTTTCCTTCAGGGTACACAAACAATTCAAGGTCTTGTCTTGGATATGCGTATGCACCTCGCAAACAGTCCAATAAACACAAATGAAACAATCTTAGAAACCAATGCATTTGAAAGGATGCAAAAACTAAAACTACTCCATCTTAGTCATGTACAACTCGATGGATGTTATGCAAAATTTCCTTTAGGATTAAGATGGTTGTGTTGGCTTGGATTTCCTTTACATTCTATACCTATTGATTTTCCTTTGGAGAACGTAATTGTTCTTGAAATGCAATACAGTAGCTTGGGACAAGTATGCAACGGAACAAAAGTATGTTACTCTACACATTTCAATTCATTTTCCTTCTTTTGTTAGTTTTTGATTTGTTGACTAATTGCATATGTTAGAATTAACTCCTACAATTTTTTCTTCTTTCTTTATCTACTTTCCAGGTTCTTCCGCCGTTGAAGATCCTTGACTTCAGCCATTCTCATGACCTCACTGAAATCATGGACTTCTCACTTTGCCCTAGTCTAGAAGAATTGATTCTTGTAGATTGCACAAGCTTGAAGAGTGTTCATGAATCCATTGGAAACCTGGAAAGACTCGTGTACTTGAATATGAAAGACTGCAAGAATCTTAGGATGCTTCCGAAGAACATGTGCATGCTAAAATCACTTGAAACACTCATTTTATCTGGTTGCTCAAGTCTAGATGAGTTCCCAGTGGAGATGATGAAGCAGATAGAGTCTCTGAAAGTTCTTAAAACAGATGGAATTCCATTAAATGAATTATGGCCAGAAAGAAGTTCAAGTATCTTAAGTTCTTTTCCATGCTCTTTAGTAGAGTTAAATCTCAGTAGGTGCAATCTTTCTGATGATGCCTTTCCTTGGGATTTAAGTAATCTATCGTCAATCCGAAGACTATATTTAGATGAGAATCCAATTTGTAGTCTACCAATTTTCATCAAAGGTTTGAGGAGGCTCGATCATCTCTCTTTCTGTGATTGTGAGAGGCTCGAGTCACTTGTGGGTTTACCAAAAGGATACCAATGCTTGTACGTCTCCCGGTGCAGATCTTTAGAAAAAATATCATATCTACAGGATCACTCCTTTAATTGGTCTCCTGAATTCCACTCCATTGGGGGTTGCGTCGACAACCTAGTTGAGTGGCAGTATCGGTACAAGTTAGAACCCATCGGAAGAGTTGATGTAGAAATGATTAAACTTTTGGGCTTGTGCAACTTGGAATCCCTGGCAAACATTCGGATGCCCAAAATCGGTACAATGGTTTGGTGTGATGATTGGTCTCCTGTCCAGGTGCTCTCTCTCTCTCTCTCTCTCACACACACACACACACACACACACACACACACACACACACACATTCTCACATATATATAGGGTATAATTGGAATGAGTTTGACTAGTTAATGTGATTTCCTTGGCATGTATATAGGGACTGTATCAATATGGTATATTCAGCACATTTTTGCCGGGGAATGAATTTTTTCCGAGGAATGAAGTACCAGGCCGGTTGATCCACAAAAGTGGAGGGTCTTCCTCAATATCATTTACTGTGCCTTTACTTCCTGATCACAGAGGTCGAGGCTTGAATGTCTTTGCTGTCTATGAAAATGTTATTGATTTTTCTGATACTGAACTTGTCTACGATTGTATGGATATTCGGATGACTATTAAGGTGAGTAATAAGAGCAAGGGTCTGAAGTGGATCTATGTCCCATTAGTCTACGGTATTCCAGGAGAGGGAGAAGATATGACATGGTTGAGCCATTGGAAAATGGAGAACGAAACAATAGCATTACAATGTGGAGATGAAGTGTCTGTTTCAGTAATCATGAGATATCCTTGGTTTCAGCTCAAGGAGTTTGGTGTCGAGCTTGTGCAAGAGCACCAAAATAATACGATGTTAAGTACCCAACACAACACCAAATCAGATCCTAATTATCCATTTGTCATCAGTGGAGATCTGTCGATGTGGGAGCATATACTAGGAATATACTTCCTTGGCAGTTTCTCTAAAGAATATATTAAAAGCATGCCAAGATCTAATTTGATTAATCATCTCATTATGGACTCTGATGAAGAAGACACAGGTATGTTGTTTTGTTGTATTGCAATGAATTATACTTCATCCAAACACTTCGATGTCCATCCAAATTCATTTCAGACATGTTTTTCAGACAAAGAAGAAGGGCAAGAGGATGAACCTGATTACACAATTGCAAAGACGAGGGCTGCCAGCAATAACTACGGTCTCGGAGGCTGGAAGGTGCTCCTCATAGTTGCTAGCTTCTTTTTCACGCTTGCTCTAGTACTTTGGTCCTCCATCTCCTAGAAAAAGAAGCGATAGTAGTCCACAAGCCCTCCAAGACTTTGTAATTTTACTTGATACAAACATATATTTGCCTTCTCTCCTTGTTTTCAAGATGTTTTCTGCCTTCAAAACTTCGGGTTCATAGCTAAGCACTCTTAACCGCTTGAGATAAAAAAGCTCCTTGCAATTAGATATCGAAGTTCAAATGTGTTCAACATCATCAAATATTGCATAAATATAGCATAAAACACACCCAGCATTAACGATACTTAAGAATTTTTCTTCCCTGTTACTGATTGCTTTCATCCTCATACCAAAAGATAAACACATGGTTGTGTACTAACAGTAAATAAGTAAAGAAAAAAAAAATGCTTCTATACATGGTAAGGGAAGGACTTTGACATAGATATCTTTAGCAATAACCGGCAAGAATCATTTCCTTGAATTGGAGGGCGGCACTAGGGAAAACAAAAACATCCTATATGTTAAAGTTTGTAGTAGTGTATATCTATTTCTGGAAATAAAGAGATCATTTATTTTGGGTTCAATGGGAGCAAGGAACAAGAAGAGAAGTTGTTTGGGTTAATATTTGAACTTTGGACTTAAAGGGAGGGAAGCCTAAAAAGAACTAATGTGAGGAGGCTTGCCCGAAGCCCAGCACCAAGCCCAACCATCCATCTCAAGACAGTATGGCAGCTCCTCATTAATGCAAAGGCTATATGCCTACAAGAGAAGTGACAACCGATGGAAATGAACCTACTTTCAGCCCAATAGCACTTTCTAATGGCAGAACATAAAAAAGATGATGATTCACTAAAGTGCTTTCTGGCAAAGCCTTCAAACAGCCAAGACAAAATGTCTATAAAAAGGAAGACAAGGTCCAGAGATAAGGACACTCAACCAATCAAACAAACAAGCATACAAACTTTGCTCTCAAGCCAGTTCATACTTTCTAAACCCTTTTTTAGCAATAGTTCCCTTAAAAAAACATCTTTTGTCTGGTGTAAAAGCTCTGCTACCTTCTCTAGATGTCGTAGTATCGATCCCGTCGTGTAAACTTGTTTACCATCCGTCCCCTCTTAGCACACAACTTTCGATAACCACAAAGAGAAGAAACTGCAAGACGTTCAACCTTGCCTGACAAGGTGAAATCTTGCCCAACTCTCTTTGTCTTGTCTTTCAATTAATAGATCTGGTACTATGATGTATTCTCCAGTATATATTCAAGTCATTTCCAGTCATTTGATGATCAAAGGTTCCATTGGTTCTCAGATCTGATTTATTTAGTGGTTTTACTGTCATAAAAGACTGAACAAGAACTAGGCCAATGGCTTGGTCAGATATGGACTTCCACCCTTTAAAAGCATACAAGATAACGAACTAAAAGTCTTTGATTTCAAGGCATAGAAAATAACTTAATATAGACTTAACCCATCGACGACAATCATTTGATAACAAGAAGTCAGAATAACTTGAGGCGCAAGTAATCGACTTAAACACACTTGTTCTACATCTGCCATACCGAGATGGTAGTGGCATACCTAAGCACTTAGTTAGTTTTGATTGCGAGCCTCAAGGCCTATACCTAAGGCCCCCTAAAATGCACCTTTCAAAACTAATTATATCCTCCGCTTGCAACCTCTCAACAAGCAAGAGCCCGACAACTACCAAAGTGCCAACTTCTCGGGGAGCTGTGTGCTAGAGTCAGGGACCCTCCCCAGCGGAATTCCTGCCCGAACATAGTTTTGGCACGCCCGGTAGGAGAACAAGTCTTGTATGCCAAGAAGATGAAGGAAAATGCAAACCTTCAGGTGGAAAACAGAACAAAAACCACCCCCAATATATACCAAGATCAAACATGGCAAATCTCCCCGAAGATCTACAATGACCTATCTTAACAGAAAGCCCGACTCCTTCTGAGAAATCAGGAGCAAAGGTCACAAATGAAGACCTGGACGCTACCATGGTGGCTGTGTTAAGGAGTATGGAGAAAATCTCTCTAAAAACCAGAGGGGAAGTAAGTAGACTATGTTCCCTAATAGGAAATCTGCAAAGAATGCTAGATCTGGAGTACTCTACCCCAGAAAATAATCGTACTAGAGATATGATGAAAGAATCCAGCCTTGTGATGGAGCCAGTTATTCCTTTGTTTCCTTTACTTGAGAAAAAGGGGAATAAAGGAAAGAACAAGGAAGGATCCAGAATTAGTTAGTTGGTGTTCAAAGAAATTCTAGAAGCAGAGTTGCCCGACCCTCTATTTTCATTAAACAGTAAGGGGCAGAGCGGGCAAGAAAGAACGAAGTATGGGATGCCTCAGTTGATCGAGGAAACCAGCAGGAAAGGAGAGCCTACCAAAGCAGACAAGCTTCCTCCTTATAGGCTACCACCATTGGCCACTAAAGGAGGAGAGGCCAAGTGGAGGAAGCCCGAAGCAAGAAAGGAGATTAACTCAGGCAACGATAGTAGCCCGAAGTGGGAACTTCCTCATACCCCGCCTAATAATACAGCCAATCAGCAACTCAGAGATGATTTGGCTGAGTTAAGAAGAATGGTGGTGAGAAATGCTCAGCCACAAGCTTACTTGCTGTTTAGGGTCACCTATCAGAAGCCCTATCCAGAGTTCGTTAATGAGTAAAATCCATTTGGCCCGCATACCCAACATTCAACAGAGAATACAACAATGTGTCCTCCAAGGATCACATCTTCAAGTTCTCCAACCATATTGTGGCATTTAAAGACAATCCAAACTATAAGTGAAGGTTGTTTAGGGATTCATTGACAAGGTTAGCATCTCAGTGGTATTCTCTTTTACCGCCAAATTCTATTGCTAATTGAAGGCAAATGGAGATGGCTTTCCACAAGCAGTTTTACAGGATAAAGCCATAGATGACCATTAACAATCTAGTTGAGGTGAAGCAATACGAGCATGAGTCTACTGAGGACTTCATGATGAGATTTAGGAAAACAAGAATGAGATGCCAATTCCCTATCAACCATGTCCAGTTTATAGCTATTGCTCAGAAGGCCTTAAGGCTGCCCTTGAGGAAGAAGTTTTATGATGTGCAGTTTAATGAGTTGCAAGAATTGGTGATTGCTGCCACCAAGTATGAGAAATTGTTGATCGAGGAACAACAAGCAAAACATTCCTCCAAAGCACCCACATTCTACAAAAACAAGGCTGACATTCATCAAACGGAATTCAAAGGGATGGAGCCAGAAGGGAATTATGGTTGTGGACAAGATGGAATTGATATGTGTGCAACGAAGATGACCACTCCCTTCAAGCCTTTGATGGTGAAGGGATTGGTCCAACCGATTAAAGACCAGAAAGTGGTCATGAATGATGGTGGATTTGTACCAATGAAACACCCCAAGTATCAAAGTTATTCCTTCGATCTAACCAAGGCAGCATAAATCTATAAAGAATTGGTGCGGGCAAGAGTGATTATGCCTAATAACACCAAAAAGTTGCCTAAACCCGAGGAATTAAGGGAAAAGAAGTATTGCAAGCCGCACTACACCTTCAACCACTCCATTACCAACTGTGTCCAATTTAGAGACCGGATACAAGATCTCATTGTCGAAGGAAAATTGTTGCTGGAAAAACCGCAGGCTAATATGATGGTTGATACTGAACATTTTCCAAAAATAAACATGATCAACTTGACATGGGCTGAGAAGGGGAAAGGGAAAGCCACTTGGGAGGTGAAGGCAGAAAAGAGGCAAGTCGATATGCCAACTAAAGGGGCTATCAAGTTGCCCGAGAAACCCAAAGTGACCATAATCAAAGGAGTGATGTTGTGTAGTAAATGCCAACGTGAGTGTGAATTGGAAGTACCAGCAGCAGGAGCTATCATTGATTAAGAGTTGATCAGAAGAAGAGAGAAATAAAAGCTAGAAGCCCACATAAGTATCTTGCGGACAGCTGAAAAAGAGACTTCAAGGAATGTCTTCCAAAGGTTGGAAATGGACTCTCAACCAAAGGGCTTGTCATAAGTGTTCAAAAATTACGAAGCTTCTAAGAAGGTGGAGGACAGAAGGGCCAAGATACCAAGATGGGTAGATGTAAGGCTACCCCAGCCAAGTTATACCAGTGGAGATGTTAGAATGAAAGAGAGGACTATGAACCCGGTCACGAAGAAGAAACATGACTGACTCAGGCGAAAATGGTATATAGTTGGAAAGGATGGGAAACCTGTCAAAGAGATGGGAGCCTCTATGATCAGAAGGGTCCAAAGGCAGCATAAGGCCCACATGAACTCATTGAAAGTCCCCACTGCTTCAGAAACCTTGGAGAATGTAAAGTTTGAAAGTGTACCTCATGGAGGGAGAAATCAACTTCATTAGAGGAGTAAAAAAAGGTGAAGAAAGCCAATAAAAATACCGAAGAGCAAGGAGATCATGTGCCGTAAACTCCTCATCCTGGGAAATACAGAATTCTGAGAAGGGCTCAAAAGGATATTGTGATGATATTAACCTCGAGGTGGAGCCCGGAGCCAATTTGTTTTGGAACTATTTCGCCCGAGAGGGGGATACCCTCACCATTGTTATTTGATACCCTTTATGAAGATATGGACCAAGTGCAGAATTTTGGCATAACTCAGGAATGAGGTTTGCTCGAACTAGTGCTACCAAAGGAAGCACAGGGCTGGTTGGATGAGTTCACAGAGTATATCCAAGGCAAGAATGATGACTTACCTGGACCTAGCAACTTCCACGTAAACATGACACATGTTTTATCTGTCATGTTTTGTGTCGAGTATAATCAACCTGCCACATTGAAAGGTGATTACATGGCGACAGAGCCTATGATAACACATGTTAGTGTTGAAGAAGCAAGACAAGAAGAACTCAGCCAAACGGTTTTGCCCGACCAATCAAGGAAGAAGCCTGAAAGAGTGTATTCTGACAAAATGGTCATCAGCCCATATATGTAACTGCTCATCTGGAGGGAGTACCCTTCAGGAGGGTCTTAATTGATGGTGGAGCTGCAGTCAATGTGCTGCCATACAAGCAAATGAAGAGAATGTGCAGAAGTAAGGAGGATCTCATCCCCACAAATCTTACAGTTTCCAGTTTCTTAGGAGCCATAACTATGACTCATGGAATATTGCCATTAGAAGTTGACTTGGGTTCTAAATAAATCATGCTGGCTTTTTTTGTTGTAGACAGTACTTCCACTTATGGGGCTTTATTGGGCATAGATTGGATTCATCGGAGTCTCTCTGTGCCATATACCTTACACTAACAAGTGGCTATCTACCATGAAGAAAGGGAAGCAAGACTTGAATTTTGGGAGATAGTGAAAGCCAAATCACGGCCATTCATCCCTATAGCCAACGTTGCAGAGGCCAACTTCTACAATCCCAGTGTTGGGATTCTTCAATGTTCAAAAGCTGATGAGAAAGGCCGCCCAACTAAGGTGACGGCCCAAAAGCTTCTAGAGCAAGGGTTAGCTCGTACAAAGGAAGAATGGGATCGGCCCCATACCATCCCAACTCCCCGACACCAGTAATGTCAGAACAGAAAAGGAAGGGCCAAGTGGTTGCAGTCAGGTCCTTAATAAAAAGAATGTTGGTGTATGGGAGAGAGAGAAAACAAGAGAGGGAGAACTCAGCCAAGAAAGAAAAAGATTAGAACAGAGAGGCTTCAAGTAGCCAGAGTAGAGAAGAGGTAGAGTTTTTTGGGAAGGAGTTAGAAGTAGCCATCCAAATGGCTGAATGTATAATAAGAGGTAGAGTTATTTAAGATTAGTGTGTTCCCATAATCAGTGCCAACAAGTCGACTTCGTCAACTCTACATGATGCCTAAACTAGTTAAGTATTTACACAATCAATGAGGATTTGGTTGTTCGTCCATCAATAATAGGGGTCAAAGGAGAGGGGAAAATGAGAAGGAAACTCCGGATGGTAGAGGGAAGGAAAAGGAGAGGGAGAAAATGAGAAGGGAAAAGTAGAAAAGGAAGGAGGAAAATGAGAGGAAATTTCGGAGAATAGAGAAAAGGAGAAGGGAAAAGAAGAAAAGCAGAGAAGAAGGGAAGAAGGGAAAAGGGAAGGAAGCTTAGGAGAGTAGAGGAAAAGAGGGAAATGCATAAAAATAAAAAATAATAAAGGAAAGTCGCCTTCATCATTATGTCTACTAACGGAAAAGTGCAAAATGCTCCCAACTTCCTTTGTTTCTTACATTGTAAATTATATTGAGAGACCAGTATTCCTACCCCAAGGATATAAACACAACTTGCCAAATCTCGTTACTAGACAACAAGTCTATAACTGCACAACAATTCGATCAACCACTTTAAATTCAACCATACATGTACCAAGATTCAAGTTTTTCCAAACTTTCCTTATGAAACTGTCTAATCATTACAAGTGCCACATTATTATGTAGTTCTATCAAGTTTTAATTTTTGTCTCGTAACCACATCATCTGTAGGACAATCAGTCTTACAGTTGAATATATAAACCTTTAAGATTGTGATATTGGAAACACTAGTTGGTGGGTTGATCGGTAGAAATGGTTCCAACAATTCAAGGACGAGAAATTAGTATTGAGCAACGGTCAAATTGTGTTGTATTTTATCACAAATTTTTTTTGTACATATTAGAAGTGCATTTTATCACAAAAAAGATAATTGTAATTTATAAAATCACACATAAAACAAGAAGTAATCTTTTCTTTTTGGCCGACCACGACTTAAAGAAAATGAAAACTAATGAAAAGAGCTTGAAAACTTTGAGTTTTAACGATAAGGACAAAATAAAGAGTAAAGTGAATAGTACCATGATTGACTTTTTAGTGTAAAAATATGGTTTTTCGTTAAAGTAAACAGTACCAGAAGCTTTGCGCGGTTTTTGGGTAAATGGATTTATAATTGTCTGTAAATTTCCCTGGAAGTAGATGGGAATGACCCAATTATATATTTACCCCTGCCCAGAGACATTTGCATTCCACCTAGCAAGCACCAGCTTTTTTGTTTGAACATCGATCCACATCAATGGCTCTTGTGAGAACGTCTCCAAGAACCTCATCTGATCCCAACACTTTTCGGGGTCACCGATACGACGTGTTCCTGAGCTTCAGAGGCAAAGACACTCGCAAGACTTTTACCGACCACCTCTACGCAGCCTTGAACAACGCAGGATTTCTCACGATCCGAGACGACGATTAACTTGAGAGACGAGAAGATATAAAGCCAGGACTGCAGAAAGCTATCCAGCTGTCACGAACTTCTGTTGTCGTGTTTTCAAAAGATTACACAACATCCAGATGGTGCCTGGATGAGCTTGTGCTAATCCTTGAACGTAAGAGGACCACCTCGGACCATGTAGTTTTACCAGTCTTCTACGATGTTGATACGTCCCACTTACGGAAGCAGACGGGAATATTGGAAAAGCATTTGCTAGACACGAGAAAACTCAATCGCCGAAAAAGGTGAAAGGATGTGATAACTATAATATGTGCATGTGTGTGAGATGGTTAGGATATATGTGAGGTAGTTAAGTTGGTTAAGAGTCTATGGTATAAGATTGTGACAAGTGTCAACATCTTAAGATTCTTATGTTAGCTTAGTGTCTAAGCAATGTAGCTAGATATATACACAATGTAATCAGTGTTAATGTTGTTGAATTGTTAAAAGAAATATACATACACTTTCTTTCTCTCTATCTATTTCCTTCTCTCTGTTTACATGGTATCAGAGCCTGAAAAGCTTCGGCTTGAAGGTTTCTCGATCTTCTTCTTCTGCTTCCGCTCTATATTCTTCATCAACGTTCATTCTTCTTTTTTCTCCAGGCCTTGATTTTCTCTGTGTCTTCGACTGGGTGCAATTTTCTTTTTGCACATCAAGTGTTTGTTATAATTCCTCTAAGAAATTCTTCATTTCGATTTCTTCCTTCTTCGGGTACAATGGTGACTTCTGCTCAACTGCAGATTCTTCAATCTCCCATCACGTCTCTCATATCCACAATTTCTTCTTCTGTGACTGTCAAACTCGATGATTCCAATTATCTGACTTGGAATTTTCAGATCGAATTGCTCCTTGAAGGCCATGGTCTTATGGGTTTTGTCGATGGGTCTCATCCATGTCCTGCTCGATTCAATGTTTCTATTTCTGAAGGTTCCTCTGTCCCTTCGAGTGATGGTTCATCTTCGACTGAAAGTGATGATTTCAAGGTTTGGAAAATACACGATCGGGCATTGATGCAATTACTTACAGCTACTTTATCTCCTTCAGCAGTTTCTTGTGCAATTGGTAGTTCCAGCGCTCATGATCTGTGGCAGCGTCTCAAAGAACAATTTTCGATTGTCACTAGAGCTACGATTTCATCTGAATTACAGAACATCAAGAAAGGTACGGATTCGATTTCGGTATATTTGCAACGCATTAAAGAAGCTCGTGATTATCTGTTTGTTGCTGGGGTTCAGTTCGATGATGACGATATTGTGATTTTGACCTTGAATGGTCTCTCATCTGAATATAATACTCTGCGCTCTATCATTCGAGGCCGTGAGAATGTCATTTCCATGAAAGATCTCTGATCTCAGTTACTTGCTGAGGAAGCAATGGTTGAAAACATTCCCATTACACCTTTCTTGTCTACTATGGTTGCTCGTAATAATGGCAGTGTTTCTAAATCTGACGGTCATTCCACTGATTCTTCTCCGTCTACATTTTATTCATCCGGTCCGTCTAGGGTCAGGCCAAACTCCAACAAGAACAAATACAAAGGGAAATTTCAGTACAATTCTCAGTCTCGATTTGGAAATTCCAAGTCCCCGTATGGCAATTATAATGTGCATTCAGCTCCTGGTATTCTTGGTTCTTCTCCACCAAAGCAACAGGGTCTTTCTAGCAATTCTTG